CCTGATCATTTAGTAATTTGTCCACCTCCGACACAGAAAGCTTATGATTATGTGAGCAGTCAACACAGAACAGCCTGGAGAGATTGTGTGTAGAGAGTTTCACAAGCAGAAGGATCCTTAGTGAAGTCAAAATGAATGCTCTGGTGTTCTAGTAAAAGATACTCTAAGTTATGTGTTGGCATTAACATAACTGAAGTAACCCCTCCATCATCATCTGATATAGTGTGTTTGTGAGTCAACTCTCAATTAAGGCTTCATACTTCAAATTGTTTACAGTGCATTACGTTTAAATTCATATTGCTATACATAACATATCTGAAAAAAAGTCATTCACTGATGTTGGAATACATTTTGGACTGTCTTAATGCAGACAGTCATACTATGTAGTATTCATAAGGTTTACGTAGCTCATGTCACTACAAAGAAAGCACCTTTGTGAACAGACTACAACGTTAATGGACATTGTTTGAGCACGACTATAAGGTAAGTACTTTTATCCTTGAAGTTTGATGGACAGCTAAAAAATGAATCACTGATTATGCACAATTAAGTGACACCTTCATTGAATACAGTTTTGTTTTATTTTGGGTAGTATCCTGCAATAGGTGAAAGAGAGCGACTGAACATGCTTTGGCTAACAAAACATTTTTTATTCACTAGATCTTTTGCTTTTCAATAATATCTTACATAATGCAGCATTGCAGAATGTTTTGGTGCAGGAAAACACTGAGACAGGGAGTTACTGAACAGAGACTCTTTCTAATTTTTTAAAGGTAGGTTCCATAACACTTAACAATGCTACTTAGTGTTACTAGGGACAAAATGTGAAGAGATCTGTCCAATGCTTACACAAGTGCCTACTCAGAGTGACTGCACACATAATGTGCACAAAGAAACAGAAGACAGGCTTTATTTATACCAAAGGGATAGGACTTGCATTGGGGAGACACAAATGTGGACATTCCGATGAAAAGCCATTAACAAAAAAGTGGCAATACCCCAGTATGCTGGAACCCCATAAAAGGGCAGCACATTGGGTTCAATTCTAGACCTATGGCACTATGTGTCTGGAGATGGTTGTCCTGATGTTAGTATAAGATTCAGTGAAGTAATGCATTAGAATATCCACTCAAATTAAATTCTGTTGTGATGGTAGGCCAGCAGAAGATGAGTTAACAGACAGAATACTGTAAGTTATATATAAGTATGTGGAGAGCCTGGTATAGCTATTAACTGTGCCACAGTGATGTGAATTATGTTTCATTTTAGCTTTTTACAATCAAGTCAAAGCATTCTAACAAGATACTGCACCTTTAGGCATATGATACTCATTTGGAATACAGTGTAAGCAAACAATTGAAGTTCTATGCTAAGAAAATAATCAAGAATGCTGTTGTACAATTAGGTACAAATTTACCAGATACAAACGATTTTTGGAAATACGTTATTCTTGGGAATACTATCATCATTTTTAGTCAAGGTTCCAGATTGTTCATCATTTTTGTTTCAGATTACAAAAATCATTCATCAAGGTGAGATTGGATATACTTTGAGTCCAACGTGTTAGTTAATATACAGTACACATACAGAACATTTCTGAGTTTCAAGATGTTCTATTGATTCATATCTAATAAATTACTTAATCTGAGCACATTGTGTTCATTATAAAAATATCACACTCCTCCATCATGCCCTAGGAAGTTATTGTGGTATTATTCTTGGTTTCTGGTGTTATCATTAGGTCTTCTATAGGAATACTATTGGTGTAAGGTTACTGCTAACCTGGAATTCTGCTTGTCTAGCATTAAACCTGAATATTTATGTTTTCTTTAAAACCAGATGATAATCTCTACTGTAACAGCTGCTTGGATCATCCACAGTCAACATAAGACATTTTAAAATTTTGTATGGCTATAATTAATGTATAACATTGTAATTTGCTCCATCCAAAAACAAAGCAATGGCATGTGTCTGTAGGATGTAAGATTATATTATAACCCTGTGCTTATTTCTTTCATTTCAGATCCTGGAGAAACTTTACTACCACTGTAAATCCAAATTCATATAAAGAGATAATTTCCTAATTAGCAATAGTATAATCAGAAATCTGAATTAATCAGTTAGAGAAATGGCTTTGCTTTTCTTAAGTTTACAGCATAAGAAAATAAGTAGTTTTTGTATGTGATTTCCTTTGATGAAATCCAAGGTTTAATAGGATTTACCATGAGTAACAAGTATTTTAGATAAGATCTTATCTAAGTAGACATGCATTCTGATGATTTTATTTTCTTTTCCACTTAGGAATATTGTAAGACAATAGCATTTGTTATACAGTTAATTCAAAGCGAGTATACCTCAATTAACGACATAATCCACAAACTAAAAAATTAATTTATGTGAATTTTGTAGTGTCTATGGTAATCAGAATCCAAACCAAGTGTTTGTTTAAAATTAAAAGGCTCTGAAACTTTAAAAAACCAACTGTCTGCTCCTCACACAAGTCTTCTATATATAAGTGATAAGTTATTCTATATATTAGCCTACACATGCAATAAACTGAGTGTGAATTAGTGGTAAGCAGGTTTCAGTTCCTCTTTAACTGTTCTTTGTGTTGTTTAATTAGGATTCTTTTTAACATGAACTGTGCATTTCAACCAACCTAGGCTTACACTGGACATGAAACGAAACTGAAAAAAAGCCATGAAGCAACAAGGAAATGGAACAGACATCATGAAGCAAAAACTTCCACAAGCCCAGTAAGCAAAACACCAGATGAAGTCAGAGCGTCTGGATGCGGTAGGACACCCTCTTGTGGTGTTTAAATAACAGCTTCATCAGCTCAATTTGCTGAACCGAGATAAAAGGTTGAAAAGGGATCTCCAGGCCCACATCTAAATTAATAATCAATAAAGCAGGAAGTTTAATATATATCATGAATCCTCACCTGTACAGTATATGGATACTTTTCCACATCCACCATGCTTCATCATCACATTATCACCAACAATCAAAATCATGACATGTTACAGAAGAGACATCTCCTCCTAGAAACCTACAATGTAGAATTCCCAAGTGGAGAAGTCCTGGTCTTTCAGTGAACTGGAATTCCCTGCTGTCTAGGGAGTGAACCTGTGAAATCTGTGAGCCCATGATCAAATCTTGACACTTCTCAGACAACACTGTTTCTCTTGAGAAGGTTGAGGAGTTCTGATGTGAGCAAACACATCCTAGAGGTGGCCTACACCAGTCTGGCAGAGAGATGAGACGGTGTGTGGAAGAGAATAGAGTGTACTCTCCTGGTAGAGACTGTGCTTTCTGTTAGCACCTCCACTTGGTGTGGGAAACTTGGTGTCAGGAGGAGAGCAAAGCTTTCAAGGATTTGAAACATAGGCAGCACAAGTACTGCTCAGTAACAGACCCAGTTGCACCACATTTGTGTTTACAGGAAAGAATTGCTAATAGTAAATAAAGCCTCACATCAACTACACTCCCAGTTTTGAAAAATTACCACCTGGATGACATTTCAGAGTACCAAAGATTATATATATATAAAAAAAAACATTTTAAAGAAGTCATTCATTCCAAGTGCCATTACTACTGTATGTATAAGCTCCTTCACAGGACTGCATGCAGCTCACACTTGACTCTTATTTTTTTTGTACTGCTTCGTATTGTTATTTATATTACAATGAATGCATACATCTGTAAAATGTACTGGATGTTTTATGTACTCTGTAAATAAACTGCTTCTATTGTTGACTCACTGAGGCCAAGGGAACACGTCCACTGTATTTGGACAATAGATTCTGATTCCAGTTCAATCAGTGTAGTAATTTCTTACTCCTCCAGCTGAACGGCTGCTGCATTTAAATGGAAGGAGAAGCGTGTCCCATCATATACAAGCTGTGAAGTGCAATAATAATGTAAAGAATTATTATTATAAAATACTCATGTAGGAAAAATGATATGTTATGACAAAAAACAAGAATTTGTGCTGTTTTCTACATTTTCGATGTTACAATTTTTCTGAAGTATCTATACAAGCTGCTATGTTAATAATTACTTTACGTGCATTATACATGTACATTAAACCATGTGCACTACAATGTATTTTATCTTTAATTCTCACTTATTCCTTATTTAAAGCCTAAAGTAACAGCGAATTTGCTTTAAACCTTTCATGAATACCATTTCAAACATAATTTAATTATCAGTTCTCTTGCGTGACGCTAGTAGTTTACTGCAAAACTGTAAATGACCAATTGTACTTTAGGGTATATTTTCAGAATTCAACGGCCTAACTTTTTTTTTAAAAAAAAGGCTGCTTCTAATTATGATTTTGAAAAGACTGGCGTTTTTCTGAGCGTCAACCAATGAAAGGAAAAGTGCATTTGTGCAAAAACAGACACTCAATGTAGACTGACATATTTATAAGGTAATACTTTCTGCTTTCAGTCCACAGGTGCAGTGCTCAAAATTAATATTTTTCGGAATTAGTTCAAAAAACAGTTGAAAAGTTTGTACTTTTGCCAATTGTTTGAAGACTAACAACACTGAAACATGGGAGCGGAGTTTTTATATCGTGTTCAGATAACCAAGATAACCAAGGTTTACAGTGGTATTGCTAGTTTTCCCTTTAAAGCAAATATTTAATTGCACACTAAACACACTGCCTCAAATATTTATTTTGAACATAGCGCAGGGAGGGACCAGCGCTGAAAATAGCTGGATTTGGATATATAGATTGGCATTCCAGTCTGCTTTTATACATTCAGTGACTCAAACTGTACGATTGGGGTTTCCTTTCGGGGAGGCGTTTTGAAATGTTTACTGTAGATTTTTTTTCCCGTGTGTCTGGAGTGAGTCTGGTGGGGGAATGCACGCCCACGACCATAAGCTTTAACCAAACGCCCTTGGGCTGTGCGTGTATCGTGAGCTCGGCCGGAGTACAGTAACTGATGTTCAGAGTAATAATGGGTGGGTTCTTTTCTTTCTGTCTAGGGCTGTGGAAACCACAATATTACCCTCCCGGATCCTCACTGTCTTTGTTGTGCGTCTGGAGAGTTTAGTTTCACTTAGCAACCGAAGCACCCATACTTACACGTACGTTACCGAGCGAAAGTGAGAGAGGCAGGGAAGAGCAAGGGCTGGAGATAAGCACGGTTTTATCCCTGGGTGTATGCCGGACCGTGTGAGTGTGAAAGTAAGCCTACTGCTTGCTACCTTCACCACTCGCAGGGGTGCAGCCGCTAAACCGCTGGAGCTCTTCGCGTCCCGGATTCAGCCTGCTGGAGGGACTGTTTCGCTGGTGGCGTTGGTGACCGAACGATGGTAGCAGCGAGATTTCGGGTGTCGGTGTTCGTGGAAGCTGTCCCGGGGTGTGCGGCGCAGGTTGAGAATGCAAGTCTGGATGTAGCTGATTGGAGTAACAGAGTTGGTGATCAGAGAGTGGAGGGGGAGGAGGGGAAAAACTGAAGTGGGTTTTGTGTGTGACTCTCCAGCGGCCATGTTAACCAAGAAACCCTCCGCTGCCGTCTACCCAACTGGTAAGGAGCAAGAATCCAGGAGCTAAGAGGGCATAGAAAACCCTTTTAAACTAGTTTTTTTTACCCGCATCGATTTGATTTACAAATGGATTTGACGTCAGTCTGTTATCTGCTGGGTCTTAAGCTATCTTGCGTTTATTATTTTTAAAATGATTGTTGATTAAAATAGATTTAAAATGAGAGTAGGGAATGTTTTTTTTTTTGGTTGGCAGTTTTTTTCAATGGCGATCCATTTTGCCATTTGTTTTCCTTTAGGAGAAAGGGGCTAAGTGATTTGCATGCTTCTGTGACAAACAGGTTTCTGTTGGATGCCACTTGCTTTACCTACAGCATCTACAAGCTTTATGGAATCGAATACGCGGACTGTTTTATGCTGCTTTTTTTTTTACAAAACCAAGCAAAGGCATTACATTCACGTTTTCAGTTCCATTAATGAAGGCGGGGATTGCTGTTTAGATAAACGAAATGAAACTTGATACTTAGAGAAAGCATTGCGGTAGGTTTCCTAGGATTTACACCTAAAATGACCCCACTCCCCAGCGCATTTTTTAGAGCACCGGGTTATTTTACGTGCTTACGACAGATCAGTACCGAGCTAATGAAGACAGTGTAACCAAATGCAAATCTAATGCGTTCATATTACATGTGTTATTTGTTTGGTTTTTTTTACACCTTAGGCAAAGGGGGTGAGGGTGTCTGCCAGCTGCAGTCTTCCCCCGGGATCGGCGCTGGGGGTCTCCGGGCCGGAGCAGGAGCCGACCCGTCATCGCCAGCGGGACTACCGCCCCTCAGGCACCCCAATTCTAACACGGTATGCAGTGCAGACGTTCTGCTTGTTGCGATGATTGCTGCACTCTTTTATGTGCTCCAAAACGTGTTCAGAAGCATTAAGAGAACATCGGATTAAGTGCCGGGACTCTCTTTTTAATTTACATCCCGTTTGACGGTGGGAAAGCATAAATATAAAATATCCTGTAAATGCTGTGCAGTGATATAGTTGATAGATACATTTATATCGCGAGGCGATACCCCTTGAGGTCCATACTGACATAATGGTTCTTTTGTTTCAAACTGTTTTTTTTTTACTTGCACTGTAAGTGTGACAGTTACTAGAGCTACAAGGTCACATGAGAAAGAAAAAAGGGCCCCGGAGTTTTGAGAGAAAAAAAGGAAAAACATGAAGAAATTAACAATGACATCTTGATATCGGACTATGTTGCAATTACATATATTGTAATATTAGTTGCCTATGAAAAGTGTGAAATACCATACGAGTTAATTGCGTTCATGAAATGCGTGTATTTTAAATAGAATCGTTCCGATTTTAAAACGTGTTCAAGCTAAACTTTGTTTTTTATATTGTATTTTTTAACTAACTTTTTTAAGGACGTGACATGTACAGGCAAAATACATTATTTTTTTTAAATGACACTCTTACAAGTTTCGTTTTATACCTGTAAAGAAAGGACATCTCTATAAGTGTATTTGGCTGATGCATGTGTCAGTGGAGATAGCGCTTAACGTAATATCCATTTGGCAAACCCGGCAGGCCCATGTTAATGTGTTATGTTTATAGGGTGACAGGCATGGGGGATGGGAGTCTGTGGATATATCACACAGATGTATCAGCTGTCATTTTGAACATTTAAAGAAACATGCACCAAAAAAACGTTTTAAAAACACGAAGACGTTTTTTTTCCAATATTATTGCACTAACCACTTAAAAAAATATAACGAGAGACAGTAAACACACGCTAAATCCTGTTGGTTTAACACTAATGTATTGCATTTTAATGCTTCTCGTTACACATTGCATTTTTTTCTCTGATATCCAATTGAAATAAGGGAATTGTTTCAAAACGAACAGCCTAGTATTGTTTTGTCCAAACACCAGTACATGTGTATAATTCAGATAATATTACAACAAGTTGAATGCTGTATGTAGACCACCCGGACATTATTTTACAACCAGTTTATTCTATCTCTATTTTACACGATGCAAAAAAGCAATTGCTCAAGCTTTGGCCTAATTTAGTTTTTTTTAAATACCTGTATGTGTGAGTTTACTGAGAATGTAGGTCTACACATGCAAATTCACATTATGTAAGCTTTAACGATGACATGGATCAGTGCCTTCAAACTTAAAGATTACGCCTAATACTGGAAGATGAGTAAGCTTTATTCTTCTCGCAGCTGTCCAGACAAAGCCTTAAATACTTTCTTTAAATAGCCACACCTCTATATATAATGACTATCTAAAAATACTATCCACCGGTTTCCAGTTTACCTATTTTGGTTCTTTTTTTATAAGAAGTATTGGTTATTTCTGAAAAAAATATAATGGTGTGTGAACTCACAAGGAAGTGGGCATGGGAGAAGAAAACTGGTAAAGGAATAGCTTTGTGTGTTTTTCGGTGGTGGCATAATGGTATGGGGTGTTTTGTAAACACAGTAGATGACATTAAGGGATATCATGCTTCCATTGTGAACTCTACATAATGCACTGATCGAAGAGGCCTCTATCCTTCCAACAGTCGGGCTGGTCGTTGTTCTTTTTCAACAGAAATCAATATTTTATTTCTCCAGTGCTTTGCTGCACAGATCAGTCTCTTGGCGCCACTGTATTTTTTTTGTTTAGAATGTAAAAAATGTAAAGGCATATTGTAGATGTGTAATGAATTTGCTGTACTTCTTTTTTTTTTCATTAAGAAAACCTGCTTCTTTGGCCAAGTCTTTCAGCAGCGTAAAGAGCTTCCTCAAAGCTAACCAAAAGCACATGACATCAGGAGATATATCATGGTTGTTTATAAGTCATGGGTTCACCCATTGGGCTTCACAAGAATGTGCACTGCGAATATTGGACACACCTTACCAGTTTTATCAGTTGTTTTAGCATTGGAGTTTTTTTTTAGATTGAACAATCCTGCATGGTCTATCCAAACATAAGTCCTCAAATAATCACAGTAGACATTAGAGAACTGGCAACAAAAGAGGAATGTGAAATAGTTGTAGGAAAATTTACACTGCTGCTTCTGTAATTATCTGTATTTGAATGGTTGATCTCTGTGTTGTTGTTAGGAACACATTTAATACATACAATGACTGGAAGCCTCCTGTTTCACTAATACAGCCAGTATGATATCAAGTCAAAGACTTCATATCACCTTTGAAGCCTTTAACAAACATCGGCATGAGGTTTGTTCACCCCTAATTTGCAATGAGTCAAGTCTGTGCCACAATGAGTGCATTAATGATTAAAGTTACAATTGGTATATGATGTTTAAGTTGGAAGTAGGTAGGATGAAAATAATAACTGCCTCTGTCCATCCACAAAGTAAGCATCAATGCTCTAATTCTGTTTACTATGTGCCTAAAGATTAACGAGCTGCTTGTTTTGTCTGCTATTGATTAGGCAGTTGGAGGTTTCATAGAAATTTCTGAATGCTCACTGATGTATTTGAAATGTAGGTTTATCCCAAACTCCTCCTGTTCTTCTGCAAACAAGACGTTTCATTGATGCATAGGATGACTGCAAGGGTAAACCTGGTGGAACGATCATAGCAAATGCAGATGTTGGGATAGATCATGTTTGAAACATGAACTGAAGGGGGTTTGTCACCTTGTCTTGACTCTTCTAACCCCCAGTGCTGGGATCTGTTTGGGGGCTGCAGATGCTTGTCTTGACACAAGAAGGGGTGAAAATTAAATCCACAATTTGTTTTGTCTTCTGGGTTTTAATTAGATTAGATGGTCTAGCCTGTTACCCTTTTTTAAGCTCTATAGTACCAAGTTATTGCCTTTAATCCTCATTTTGACGAATACGATGAATTGAAAAATATGAAGTCTCTGCAAATCATTTGTTTTGCACTGGAAAGATATTTCATTCAACGAGAACAAAAAGTAAGCATGCCACTAGAGGGAAACAAAATCAAAGTGCGATGTTTTAGAAGTGCCACGATGCCAGGTCGTGCTTTTGTTGTTCCTCTCTAGCCATTTCCTTGAGATTTCTGTGAGATTCTTCTTCCATGACAGGCAGGAATGTGCAAACTCCTTGGAGACAAAATAAGGAACAGGTTTTATATTACTCTTGCTGCTGCTTCCTAGTCTCTACAGCACTTCTCTTTGCAAAGGAATCTAGCTCAAACCAACGGGGGGGGGGATTGGGGGAGGAAGGTGTTTTCGATTTCCCAAAGGAACCTACATTGTAACTGTTTCCTCTGATTTTGACTTCTTTTTACAAACTGAAAATCTGATACAGATATGCACATTTGTAATGTAAGTATGGCTTCTTAAAATAGAATAGTGTACTTCTGGATTTGAGTTCTGAATGTACTGTTCTCTTTGTGTACATATGGAGAGGACTATGTTAAAAATGCTTTGCAGATTTATGGTTGCTCTTTTATTGTAGTCCATTAAACACATTAGATTTTATTGGATGTAATTAAAAAAGTGCAAAAACAAAATGGCGTGCGTACAAGGTTATCTTGGTACATGAGAGTGGAGAAAAAGACATTGCTATTCTGAGCTTGTAGGTAAGGATGTTAGTAAAAATAATTACTTCAAATCTGTCCACCTACCTCCTCCCCCACTCTGGATATACCCAGGTTCTGTGTGTAGTGCAAATTCTTCAGATAGTATGGACTATTAGTCCCTTCTCTCAAACAGAAACAACAGGTATTGTTGTTGACAGAGAATTGGCAGTTTCACGTTTGAGTTTAACAAAAGTGTGTCGCTGAAGCAGGAGAACATAACCAGGCATCTGTATGTGCTTTCCACATACCAGTCTAAACATTGTTCCCAGTATGGGACAGCATTCATGGGCATGTAACTGCAAGCAGCATTAATGAAACAGGTGGCGTCCAGTCAATTTATGTGTGAAATTCAAGATGCCTGAAGTCTTTCCACTTCAAAATAAGCCCTTAGAAAAGTTTAGGGAACAGCCAGATTTTTGTGAAAATCTGCCTGGAACACATTTCTTAATATTGTAATGCTTTGAAAACTTCAGTTCCCTATTTAATTACTTAAATTAAGTTTTTAGTAAGAAACTTTGAATTTCAGAATTCCTGTATTTGAAGCAAATAATATCAGTGTGATTATTTTTGGTTATTACTGTTGTAAAGTTGGACCGACATATTCGTTTTGTTTGCAAATCTTTATCAAAATGCAGGGATAAATCCCTCCAAATTTAAATGTATTTTTGTTGTGTTTCAATCTTATTTAACCTATACAAACGTGCACCAGGATTCTTCTAAAATCTATATAAAGTTCTATAAAATATATATAAAAGCTAGGTTTGGTTTAAAAGAGAATTCACCTAAATTATTTTTGCAATAATATTTTGAAGTACACAATGTCGGTCAGTGCTTTGCTGCTATAACTAATTTTACGAGGGTGAATGTGGAAAAGACAAATCTTTTACAAAAGCTGAATTCAATTTTGTTTTCTGTTAGTATTATTTAAACTTACCATACATTCTTTTTAGCATTGTTTTCTTGATAAACATGGCATATTGGTGCCTTTCTGTGGTGTTTTAATTATTCACCACTTCATTAATTAGAATTGTGATTAGGTACAGTTGATGAAGTGATTTAGTGATAATACAACAGACACTCAGTTGTATCAGTCATGAATGTTAAACAACAAAAAGACCCCACAAATGTTTTATAATCTCCAAAATATAATCTTTCCTTTTCAAAAACATGCGTAACTGGGGAGATTAGTTTCATTTGATGCTTAGTGTACCTTGTGTATACACTGCATTTGAATGAGACTAATCTACTAATACCAGGTCAAAGAGAGCATGGTAACTGAAGCTTAACATGACATTCATCATTTATTTCTTGAGAGAGAAAACATTCACACCTAGATTTGTCAAACAACTCTCCTTAGCAAAGGTCATTCATTTTTCCTTTGAATTTAGAATTACTTAATCCAATTCAGGATATTGTGTGACTAGTTAAAAGATTGTAGTCAGTGTTTATTTAAAAAAAAAAATATTCTCTAAGAACACAACACATTCTTAGCTATGCTGAAATGACAACATAGTTCACTAGAACAGTGTTAGCCTGCAGCCAGAAACAGTAATGTGCTGTAAATGACCGTTACCGCTTGCAAAATGTGCAGTGATGCCAAGATTAGCGTGGAAAGGAGTAAGGAATATTCAGATGTAGTTTTGCAGTCCGCCCTGTGCTGTAGTTTTTTCATGATCTGGCTGCAGTAGGGGCTAGGGGCTCTTCTGAAATGAATGTGTGAAGTTTTGGAAATGGATTCAGCGATGTTCATAATGCAACATGATAACTAAGAATGGGGACAGCGTACACACAGCGGTACTGATAGAGAGCATGTGTTGACACAGCGAAACAGCAGCTGTGCTCTGACCTCCCTCCCTTTTACTTCAAAGTTTGGAGGGTTTTGGAATGAAAATATTTGTGCAAAACAGTAGCTCAGATAGTACAGATTAACTGCAACAGAATAAGCTCACTATTTACTGTAGGTACACATTTGAAAACGGTATCAATGGTGGGGGGAAAATAGGGCCAATTTGTGGTTACCTGGTTCTCGTGCAGTGTAATCATTTCTAAAATAGATGATAAAAACACAATCTATAAAAAATTAGAATAATGAATTGGTACAGACTTAAAAACAGTGAGAATAAAACACTTGGGTGTGAAGATCAAATAAGAAGGGATAAAAGAGGAGGGAAACTTTGGGTTAAATACAATCGTAGTTGTTTAAGGCAGCAATTTCCAACAGCTCTGTGATTGTGAGGTGCTGAAAGGGTAACAATATCTGACATGACAACATAATTCATCTTGATGAGGAGGGCATTCTGTTTTATTCCATGCACAACATATTATATAGGAACATGCGTGAATTTCTATCTGTAAGAGGAATGAACAGTGACAACATGCATAAGGAATTAGAATTAGAAGACGTGTTAAAGTGCAAGACATTTAACCCTAAGCATTTGATTAAACGGTAAAGGGTTCCTTTTAAAACAATACAATTTTAGTTTTGCCAGTAAACGTTAATTTACATTGCTGACTTACATTATACCAAGTATGAAACTGAAGTCTGCAATCTGTAACAGTATTAATTTTATTGTCTTCATTGATAGTCTCACTAGTAGATATGGGGCATGCTGGACTGATGACAAATTTACATTTTGAAGGAGGTTCATAAAAAGGAATTTATGAAGCTTGACAACAAATAAGTTTTTCTAAGCCTTTTCAATGTTTGCTTTTTTACTAAGTGCCCTTGTGAAATGTCAGTTACACATTCATAAACTCTGAATGTAAAGTGATACATTAGTTTCAGTGGAATTTTCTGTAATGTTCATGTTTGAATGCCGTGTTGTAAACTACACCTTGCTTGGCTATTGCAGTTTTTTTAAAGTCAATGGGTGGTGGACCTGTGAAATTATTGTTTAGTGGTTTATATAAACCATAAAATGCCATCCTAAGGTAGCTCAGAGCCATCATAAAATGTCATATATTTGCTGGTATAGGCTATTTCTTCAACCCAGCATGCCGCCTCATTGCCTCAGCTATAATAACTTGTGTGAAAAGAGCTTAGGTTGTAAGTCTGCTTTCTTAAAGAGGCCAATCAGTGTTCATATCTGATGTTTAAATCAAAGCCCAATTCTTGTGACGCACTATTAGTCATGTCTAAAAATCCTGCTTGTTTTAGATTATCCATGTGCATTGTCCATGGTAGTTCACGGTTTTACAAATCCTTAGCTGCTCCAGTTCTAGTTTGTTGACTTAAAAGACACAGATTAGATAATAGACTAGTGACATCTTTCCAATCAAGCTCAGGAATAGATTAAACACATTAATTTGCTCACTGCTCTGCTATTCTGTTACTTATTCATTGACCTGAGGAGTAGAAGTAAAAAATGGTTAGAATAACACACCTATATTACCATTTTGTGCTGGTGTTTCATTGAACAACCACACCTTTGTTCAAGGTTCTTACTGATTGTGACAAAGGGTTCTACCTTATAAACACATACAAAGGCTACTCAGGCACAAGAATGGCTTGGTCTTTGTACCCATGCTACCCTGCATATACTGTAGACCAGTGGTTCTCAAACTTTTTGGACCAAGTACCATCCCTAATCCAACCAAAGCATCCAAGTACCACCTACAAGTCATCATCTCATAGAAACCCCAGAAATTATCAATGACTAACATGAGCACATGTGCGCACACACTCACACATACATTTAATAAATATTTTAATAATAAACTTTGTTTGATATATTAAAATGTGGCTTCTCAAAGTGTTTTACAGAAAAAAACAACACAAATAAAATAAAAATAAAAAAGCACCATTTCAGTGAGAGGGGTGAGCCTGTTTAGTCTAGCAAAGCAGATGTGAATTAATTTTTCGAGCCTTGATACAATTCACAACAGTCTAACAGATTTTAAATCGTCAGGCATTTTTTGACGGCAAAAGTCTCGCGGTGGATGTTGCAATGAAACCGTTAATTTCTGGAGCAACCTCTCTAATTCGTGCAACTACACCGCTGTGTCGGCTTGTCATTGCTCTAGCACTTTTTATCCAGTCGATGCCATTCTCTTCGATAAATTCATTCAGAAGCTGAAATACGTGCTCTCCTGTAGTTCCTGTTGGTAGCGGCTTACAGAACAGAAAGTCCTCACGGGACATACCCTCAAACGTATCTAACGTAAATGAGCAAATTGGCCAAATCGACTACAGACTCATCTAATTGCAGTGAAAAACATCTGCTCATCTTAACGCGCTCTGTCAGCGTACTTTTGATATAATCCTTCATTTCAATAATTCTATGAATGACTGTGTCTTTCAGGGGGGGCAGCAGGTCGAGCTGTTCAGCAGTTTTTTCTGCACACATAATAGTGTGGGGCTTACCTGCTTTAGCAATCTGCAAGCTTGCATTTTTCCACGTTTCCGTTTTTATTTCAGTGTTTATTTTAAGTATTTATTTCATGCGTATGGGAGAGAAACACCGAGATACTGTATTTTTCTCAAATTAACTTAGAACAGTTCTTAAATATTTTTCTGTTATTTTTTACGCTTTCCTGTGCTCACAAGATTACCAGCGTTCGTAGCACGTATTTCTATGCATTCCTGTGTTTACAACGTTGGCATTGTTCCAAAATCACGCACATTCTCCTTTTTCCCTATTTGCTGGAGATACAGTAGCTTTTTTTTAAATACAATTGGTCACTTGCGTCCGTAGCACGCATTCCTATAGAGTGGTATAGAATTACAGAGTATCTCTTGTGTCCACTGAAGTATTAGCGCGCACTGTATCGTAGTATGTAGGCTGCGTATTCGGCACGTATAAAAATACAAAATATGAAAACCCGTCCCGATTTTTTTCAGCGCACACAACACAGTTCCAGGGTCATTTGGCGTACCACCTGGCGGCACACCACGTACCACTACCGGTACGCATACCACAGTTTGAGAACCACTGCTGTAGACTAACTGCAAGCCATGTGTGGAAGGCAGTCAACTTCCTGCTTGTAGTTTTGGTGGCATTTTTATGCACAACCAAGAAAGGACTTTGAGGTATCACTGATAAATTGTCTGAGATAGCAAACTTGGCTAGAAAATAAAGAATCGTATCAGTTTCTGTTTTACCAGGCAACATTTCCAATCATACATGCTTTATACATCATAGACACAGCCAGGAGTTACAGCTTATTGTATTTTACTCATAGCCGCCATTAGTGTTTTCTAACATTATAACAACTTTGACAGGTGTGGTTGGAGCTTAGTTTGATTGAGAAGAAAGTAAGCTTTAACATTAACAGTTAATGATATTATCATAATCTTCAAAAACATGATCACAACAACAGTTCAAGCTAAACTACACATGATTTGCTGACATGCGACGGGTTAGCCATTACACCAACTCATTTGCCTATCAAATTTATTGTTACATGTTCTTCATCATTAACATGGTTTGGTCCTAACATTTAGGTGGTAGGATTATCTTAGAATTCTGCATGAAGAAGGAAAGCTTTGAATAAAAAGCAGAAAATGTGAATTGTCTTGAGTTTTACCCAATAGTGTATATAGTTGTTTTATGATTGCTGATTGACTACCATTAATTTGTATTGATGAGTTTTAGTAAAAAAATACTTTGCTTATTCTTTTCAGGTCGGAGGCAATAAGAACACCATGAATGACCACTTGCACATCGGTAACCACCAGCAAATCCACGTTCAGCAGCTGTTTGAAGACAACAGCAACAAACGGACAGTTCTGACAGCGCAGCCCAATGGTCTTACCCCAGTGGGTAAGGCAAGCCTGCCTTCTGTACAGGAGAGACAGCTAGACAGCGCCCATCGTCGCCAGGGCAGTTCCAGCTCGTTGAAGTCCTCTGATGGGACAGGGAAGTCCAAACCCACCCCCATGACGCCTGAGCAAGCCATGAAGCAATACATGCCCAAGCTGACAGCATTCGAGCATCATGAGGTCTTTAATTACCCAGAAATCTACTTCGTGGGTCCAAATGCCAAGAAGAGGCAGGGCGTCATTGGGGGCTCCAACAATGGTGGCTACGACGATGACCAGGGCTCTTACATCCATGTGCCCCATGACCACATTGCCTACCGGTATGAAGTTCTCAAGGTCATCGGCAAAGGAAGCTTTGGCCAGGTGGTAAAGGCCTTTGACCACAAGACTCACCAGCACGTGGCACTTAAGATGGTGCGGAATGAAAAACGCTTCCACAGACAGGCCGCTGAGGAGATACGCATCCTGGAGCACCTTCGGAAGCAGGACAAGGACACCACCATGAATGTCATCCACATGTTGGAGAACTTCACATTCCGCAACCACATCTGCATGACGTTCGAGCTGCTCAGTATGAACCTCTATGAGCTGATCAAGAAGAATAAGTTTCAGGGCTTCAGCCTACCGCTGGTGCGCAAGTTTGCGCACTCTATACTGCAGTGCTTGGATGCTTTGCACAAGAACCGAATCATCCACTGTGACCTTAAACCAGAGAACATTCTGTTAAAGCAGCAGGGCCGGAGCGGGATTAAGGTTATTGACTTTGGTTCTAGCTGCTATGAGCACCAGCGGGTCTATACCTACATACAATCGCGTTTCTACAGAGCACCCGAGGTTATACTGGGGTCACGGTATGGGATGCCAATTGATATGTGGAGCCTGGGTTGTATATTGGCGGAGCTGCTGACCGGTTATCCTCTCTTACCCGGGGAAGACGAAGGGGACCAACTGGCGTGTATGATAGAGTTGCTTGGCATGCCCTCGCAAAAGCTGTTGGATTCATCCAAAAGAGCCAAAAATTTTGTCAGCTCCAAGGGTTACCCCCGCTATTGCACGGTTACGACTCTGCCGGACGGCTCGGTGGTTTTGAACGGTGGGCGGTCACGCAGGGGGAAGCTGAGGGGGCCACCGGGGAGTAAAGAGTGGGTGACCGCTCTGAAGGGCTGTGATGACCCGCTCTTCCTGGACTTCTTGAAACAGTGTTTGGAGTGGGATCCCTCACTACGCATGACACCCAGTCAGGCTTTGCGCCACCCCTGGCTCCGGAGACGCTTGCCAAAACCCCCTACTGGGGAAAAAACCTCTCTCAAGCGGATCACCGAGAGCTCTGGTGCTATTACATCAATTTCCAAATTACCTCCAACTTCAGGGTCGGCCTCAAAGTTAAGGACTAATTTGGCACAGATGACTGATGCCAATGGGAATATTCAACAAAGGACAGTATTGCCAAAATTAGTCAGTTGAACTTGAATTTGTTTAGCTTGGTCAGTTTTGAAAGGGAGCTGATAAGTAATATTTAGATTGGGGGGGGGGAATCGCACTGCCGAGCCTTATTCAAGTTCAAATTTGAAAGTTTTAGATTTTTGATTTGCAAAATCACTATAAATGTAATTGTTGGCTTTGTAGCACTTTTGTCTGGAAAATGTTTTAAGATATTTATTGAGAAGGTAAAACAGGGGACAGTGCTTTTAAGTTTTTGACTAAGGATGGTGTGTAATGTTGCAGGTTGCCAACATTCATACACTCATGCCTAATATATTATCAAGCCCGTATCAGCTTCGAGGTTTCTATATTGTAGCAGTAGGGACAAGTGGAGTGGCTGGCCACTGTTGTATCACAAGCTAGTATGGTTTTTAAGGATAAGAAAGCAAGTCTTTATCCTCAGAAAATTTCCGTTGTATCACATCAAGTGAAGATGGTTTACTTTTGTCTCACTTTGTGGCATACAATGAGAAAAACTAAAAGTTCTACAGCTGATTAAGTGTAAAGGATTTTCTGTGCCTCGTTAATATTATAGTTTACACAGCATGTAAATGTGGGAGTCAAGAGTTTATTTCCCTGTCGATTAGGGAAAAGATTTACAAGGAAAGAGGATGTGAGAGTAAATGCTAGTCGGGCAGGTTGAAGAATGAGGGAAATAGAGAGAAACATGCAAAAAAGAAGTTTTACAAGATGGACAGTGTACGTGCCTAAAACTCTTAACATTCCTTTGCAATGAAACGTGAGGAAAAGGTATCTTTTATTTGCATGATGAGATTAAGATCAGCTGCATATTTGCTTCACAGAAGAGAACAGTATTGACTACGCAAATCAGAGTAAGTCTCCCTTGGCTGTCAATCATTTTCTGCCCTTTGGAGATGTAACCTCTGCAGAAAGCAATGGTGTGTTGCTAACATAAGAATAAACAAATGGTGCTTTACCTTTTTTTTAAGGTATTTTTATTGAGAAAACCTATATCTGTTCTACACACGAGAATTGTTATACTCTCAAATTATCGGGTTTGTATGCTAACAATGCAATAGAATGTTCTTCTAAACTGCAGTGTTCCCAAGTAGTTCTTTACTGGACTCCTGTGGACCTGATGGGAGATTTTGAAATTGGTGTTTGGAAGTCTTGGGGAAATTTGAGTCTTACATCTACAAAGCACAGGGAGCCTTTTAAGCTTGTGATGTAAGATGTTTTTTTACGTTCCTTTTAAGAGCATTGGCTATACTTGTGTTTAGTATCTCATTAAGGTAAAAGAGGAGATTTTAAAGGTTGTGGACTTTAACTTAGTGGACCTTCTTAATATTAGAAAGTTACAAAACGCTGGTGAATGGTGCATTATGAATTACATTCATGGCTGCATCTACGACTGTGGAATAATAGCATTCACATTTCATGTGTACTAGAGCAATACTTTTATGGATTTTGAATGGGCTTGTAAGTATTTGGCAAGGAGCTGCAACACTTAAGAGCATGTTCCCTTGTAAGGCCAAAAAGATTGTCTCCAGTAATGTACTTTTTATTAGAAAGGATTTTAGTTTCCCAAATTTAAAAATCTCAAAACCATTATACAAAGGTTTTAATTAAATGGAGGATCAATACTGTAAAATAACACTTACCAAAATTATTGCATGACTAATTAATGGGTCCATCTTTATTGAGAAGACATAATTTCAGTGATCAGAAAGGCACTTTTGGCTACCTGTGAGATAAAAGACAAAACAAGAGAAAATCTAGGAAATTGCTCTATGTTATTCACAAAGATTCCTCAGAACCTTCAGTGAAATCACCTGTACTGTTGGTGGTAGGATTTTTGTACAGCCTCTTTTTAAAATGATTTTGCTTGCACATTTTTAAAACCTTTTTTTTTAGTATCAAACAGCTAACATATACGCTACTGGAAACAGTCAGGAGGCCTGAATGTGTCTAAGAAGGTTGGAAGTTATGGAGCGTCTTGTGTTTTTTTTTAAAGTGTAATATGGAAGAATGTATCTCCTTCCTGTCTATTATTTTAAAAGAAAAGGTTTAAGTCATACTATTTCTAGGGAGTTACCATGAATGGCAGTGGCTCTGAGATGTACCTTCTGAATCAGCTGATGAGGAGTGTGAAAGTGTTATTAGCATTCCTCTGGGGCAAAGTTCCTGCCCAGCCATCTGAAACACCATACTGCCACTCTGGAAATGAATGAAGGAGCTCAAGTGTGAGACTGTTCGGACTAACGGTAGTGGAAAATTGTGCCCTTAGTTTTAAAATTGTGCCTTTTGTTATAAATGCCATTTTATGGACATTTCTTTTCCTTCATCCATGTTCCCTTTGACCCTTTGAAGAATTGATGCACATGTACATAGCATATGTGCTAAAGAACACCAAATCTCTCCAACCCTTGGAACTGCCTCTGTAATGAGGAAGCAAAATGTATTAAAATGGGTGAAGCTCCTTTTATATCTAGAGTGGACTAAATCTCTCTGTGTCAAATCATAGACAAGTCTCAGACAGGTTTAATAGAAGGAGAAAATTTGATTCTTCACTGTACTATTTGCTTTTGTCTTAACATCAGACTTTTTAATAGGTAACATCTTGCTTTATGTTATGATAATTCTTGGGGGAAAAATCATCCATACTTTTTTAAAGTTTTACCTCAGACTGTTATGATTTATTCTATTGTGATTAAACCCAGGGCATTTGGTACATACCAAAGTGCATTCCTTTGTACATTTCTGGCTATAATAAAAAGGCCAGTGGATTTAATTTTTCAAGTTTGGGTGAAAGGCACTTCAGCCACTTTTTGTCACTCAAGAGGTATGTTGGGAGCATTTTTTTTGCTTGGCTCCATTTAAGAAAAATCTTTTTGACAACTTGAGACTTCGGCAATTTTACTTGTGAATCTATTACAGAATAAATTAATAATGTAGCACACATCGGACATCAGTTCTTTGAAATGGTTTAGATTTATCCAGTGTAACTATCTTGCCACAGATCACTAAGCTCTGCATTGGTAGCAAATTTCTGATAGAACAAATTAGGTCAGTTAAATTTGCTACATTGAAGTACATTTTGCTACTTACTATCAAAACATAGTCCTGGATCCCAAGTTCAGCTGCTGTAGAAACACCCATAGCTGTGGCTTGAGTCCTTTTCTTTTTAAAACCGAGCAACATATTAGACACGTGTTTTTATTATGCTGCAAAAATGTGTACTGTATATATGTGAATTTACTATGGATTGAATGTGGATGTGTACATATGTATTTTTGTGAAATGCTGCTGAAACCACTACACATGCTGTAGTGAATTTTAATCTTAGCGGCCAGTTTTATGATACTGTATGTATTGTACAGCTGATGACAGAAGTCTAAACTTTTTCTAGTGATCATTTGTTAAATTTTATTGTTGTGGCCAGAAAATAATTTCAGAAAATTAATAATAAAAAAGTTTTAATGTCCATCTTTAGAAATAGTGTTTTGGAGTCATTTTTACAGTGAGGAATGTTTGAGGTTGAGAAAATTCGTAGCAACCAGTGGTGCTGAGTCTATAATCATTAAACACATTATTATGTTCAAGGTTCAGTTTGCTCAGTATAAAAGACTGGGGAACTACTGGCATGGGAATACAGGTGTGTGCTTCCTTGAGAAAGTCTCAACAGCAAATAACATTTTAAGTCTTTGACCTCAACAACAGAAACGTTCCTTTGGGGAATCTTGATACAGTTCCCCTTCAGAAGTAGTGGTTAGAGTTACACCTGTGTGTCTGCAATGTAACTGTTCTTTTAGATTTTCATCAAGGCTTTTAAAACCCATGTGAAATATACATCTTCTGCTGTGTTATACGTTTTTCATGGGATCAGCTTATAGAAACCTGACATCTCTATTCGTTCTCTAGACACATTGCTGGCATACCAGCACCTTAAGGGGCTTTAAAACACAAAGTGAAAGAAGATCTTTTATTTCAATGACTGTATTAGGCGAAGTCTTTTAACTAGAAAGCCTTCCTTTGATAAGTTGGAAGAATTTGGGCAAATGAATGATTAATGTTATTCAAACTACGGGTAATCAAAAACAAAAAAGCAAATATTTTTAATATAGAAATGCAAACTAGATTTATCTCTGGTTATGGTTCTGGTTAAGCTGTTAACAGTGCTTAACACTTATGAAGGCAATTTATTTTCCTCATCTATATCCATTCATCCATTTTCTAATCGCTTTGCTCCAATTCAGGATCATATGGGTGCTGGAGCCTATCCTGGCAAGCAATGGGCACAAGGCGTAGTATGTCCTGGACAGGAAACCAGTCCATTGCAGGCACACACAGACACCCACTCACACCAGGCCCAGTTTTCCCAGAAGACAATTGACCTACCACAATGTCTTTGGACTGTGGGAGGAAGCTGGAGCACCAGGAGGAAACCAACAGAAATGTTGGGAGAACATGAAAGTTCCAGATCCAGAATTGAACCAAGGGCCCTAGTGCTGCAAGGCAGCAATGCAAACCAGTGTGCTGCATATTCCTCATCTATTTAATTGTTGGAAAATTAATGTAATATTTCTTTTTTGAAGCAATTGGGAACCAAAACCAGTCTATTGCATTCATAATCTTGACTGCTCTTTAAAAGCGCTGTTTGCTCTAATTTGCCTTAAAGGTTATGACATTATTTATTGGCATGTGAAAATGTGTCAAGACAATGAGTTCTTAAGTGAAGTTCAGGAAGGACGACAAATAAGCTACTCTTCTTCTCTGTTGTTTTCAATTAAAATCAATCCTGCCATCATGTCTCAGAACTGATATATGTATACTGATGAAAACAAAAAACACAACATTTTCTGGAATGAGAATAGTATATTACCATAGTTGTAGCTTATGTACCTTCACAAAAAGATGTCAATTGGTTTTTAAGCCCTCTGACTAGCAATACAGCGTGTGCAGTGAGGCATTGCAAATTGCCAATCACGCGAAAGCTCGTTGGGTGCGCTTTTACCAGGTGAGGTCCAGGTGGAACAACGTCTGATCAGGTCACCTCTAAAAAGGCCTTAATTCAAAACTTAGGTTTCTGCAAGGAAAAGGCCACACTAAGTTTTCTTTGCATTCCATAATGCCTCAAATGTCACCAGAAGAAAGGGAGAGGGCCATTGGCATGCTGCGGGCAGGCATGTCATGTGCCAGCATTGCCAGACACTGGAGTAAGCCTCTCCACTGTGTCCTGATTGCAGAAAAGGTTTCAGCAGACTGGCAGGACAGATGACTGTCCAAGATCCGGTCGCCCTCGAGTGACCACAGCAGAGCAGGACCGACACATCAGACTGGCCCATCTGAGAGATCTGCCACCCGTACTGCTGCTGAAACTGCTGGCAGACACAATGTCCACATCAGTGAGGCTCCATGGTGCTGGCCTTAGAGCAAGGCAACCTGTCAGTGGCCCTCTGCTCACACAGAGGCTGCGATGGACTCGTCAGCAGTGGCATCAGGTCCTCTTTACAGATGAGTCACTCTTCAGCCTGTTCCACGCAGACGGGAGGACCAGAGTGTGGAGAAGGAGGTGTTGCGTTTCTTTTTTCCATCAGTATATATGAAACACAAACTCATCTATTCACATTTCGTCTCCTACATCCCTCTTCCACCCCATTGTCACCTTCACAGCTGCCCCTTCGTCAGTCCGCATTGTTGTTTTATGGCCAGGAGGATGGCCCTCAGTCAAGTGCGTTAAATCAAATCTTACAATGCTCAATCAACATCCTGAAGTGCATCTAAGTCTTGACTGTTATTATTGCTTGAGAACTTTATTCTAAAAAAATGAAACAAGCCTGTCTGTTTTTGACGGCACAAACGTGCAGAGATGAAAAAAGTCTGTTTACTTCCTGTTTGCCTGGTGATGAGGAATGTTGAGTGGTCACCTGTAATTATCAGCCATTGTCAAGAAGTCACTTTTTGAAAATGTATTCAGTGGAGAGTTTGAGAGGGTGGTGGTTTTTCAGAGCACCTTCTATGACATTCTCTCATTGCCCCCTCATCCCTTGGCAACCATAAAACAAAGTTTAGGGTATTGAATTTCACTTTAGGGGTCCAAAATGAAGTGTTCCTTTGTCCACTGCCAGGTGTCCCTAGAAGTATAAGACTTAATGTTTGTAAACATCTACAGTATGTTGAATGGCAACAGCATTTAGTGATTAAATGCTTTTTGTGTTTGTTTTAGGGTGATTGTAGTTGCTTAGTCTCTGAACGTCTGAGCTATTTAGATTAAAGGGTTCATGAGAGACCTTTCAGTGTCAATAAGCTTTGCAAATGCCTGAAGAGAAAAAATTGTATCATGAATTTACAGAGTACTGCAAAGGTGCAGTACAATCATCTGGGTCAGTGGTTCTCAAACTTTTTGGACCAAGTACCACCCCTAATCCAACCAAAGCATCCAAGTACCACCTACAAGTCATCTTCTCATAGGAACCCCAGAAAGTCTCAATGACCAACATGAGCGCATGTGCACACACACTCACACATGCATATAATAAATATTATAATAATAAACTTTGTTTGATATATTAAAATGTGGCTTCTCAAAGTGTTTTACAGAAAAAACAACAACAAATAAAACTAAAAAAGCACCATTTCAGTGAGAGGGGTGAGCCTGTTTAGTCGGGGAAAGCAGACGTGAATTAATTTTTCGAGCCTTGATACAATTCACAACTGTCTTAACAGATTTTAAATCGTCAGGCATTTTCTTGACGGCAAAGGTCTCGCGGTGGGTGTTGCAATGAAACCGTTAATTTCTGGAGCAACCTAATTCATGCAAGTACACCGCTGTGTCGGCTTGTCATTGCTCTAGCACCGTCTGTACAAACTCCGACACATTTGATCCAGTCGATGCCATTCTCTTCGATAAATTCATTCAGAACCTGAAATACGTGCTCTCCTGTAGTTCCTGTTGGTAGCGGCATACAGAACAGAAAGTCCTCACGGGACGTACCCTCAAACTCGTATCTAACGTAAACGAGCAAATTGGCCAAATCGACTACAGACTCATCTAATTGCATTGAAAAACATCTGCTCATCTTAACGCGCTCTGTCAGCATACTTTTGATATAATCCTTCATTTCAATAATTCTATGAATGACTGTGTCTTTCAGGGGGGGCAGCAGGTCGAGCTGTTCAGCAGCTTTTTCTCCACACATAATAGTTTTTTCCACGTTTCCATTTTTATTTCAGTGTTTATTTTAAGTATTTATTTCATGCGCATGGGAGAGAAACACAGAGACTCTCGGTGTATTTTCCTCAAATTAACAGAATAGTTAATTAATATGTTTCTGTTATTTTTCACGCTTTCCTGTGCTCACAAGATTACCAGCGTTCGTAGCACGCATTTCTATGCATTCCTGTGTTTACAACGTTGGAATTGTTCCAAAATCACGCACATTCTCCTTTCTCCCTATTTGCTGGAGATACAGTAGCTTTTTTAAATACAATTGGTCACTTGCGTTCGTTGCACGCATTCCTATAGAGTGGTATAGAATTACAGAGTATCTCTTGTGTCCACTGAAGTATTAGCGCGCACTGTATCGTAGTATGTAGGCTGCGTATTCGACACATATAAAAATACAAAATATGAAAACCCGTTCCGATTTTTTCAGCGCACACAACACAGTTCCAGGGTCATTTGGCATACCACCTGGCGGCACGCCACGTACCACTGCAGGTACGCGTACCACAGTTTGAGAACCACTGATCTTGGTAATTAAGATACATGTTTTGATAAAGAAACAATGCCTTCTAGATTTAAGATGGGTCAAGATGTAAGAATAACATTTATTGATGTATATATAGTGTGAGGGACAGTAGCCCCAATGCCAAATTACATATATATGGTAGCTATCCATTCTTCTTCAGTCCATTTGTCCTGGAGAGAATGACAGCAGTTTCCTGTGCATACAGTATGTACTGTAAATGTCTGATAAGCTGATAATGATTAATCAATCTGATATATGAAGTAAGAGTGATTCTACATTGATTATGTACATTCACCTTTATATATTATTTCCCATCATCATGGCTCTATTGCTTATGACATTAATAGGTATCAAGGATATGTTATGTTTGGTAGTTTGCAATATAATGACCAATTATGGTGGTCAGATTTCTTGGTTCCATCACTTTTTCAGTTGACTGAAAAAGCCTTGCATGCAGTGTATATTATAAAAGCTATTTCATACATATCAAATTTGATAGCCTACCAGTTTTATTTTAGGGTAACTTTATAATCCCTGTATGTCAGGGATGCTGGGCTATGGCTGTTACTACATGGTTTGAGGCTTTGATGGAAGACACCTGTCCTTCATGGTGCACAACAAACTGGACAAAAACTCACATTGGCAAAAAATCAGATGGACTAGATTTCTTTTCCATAGTATGTATTATTGTTGGTTTAACTTCCTGTACTGGAACTGGTGACATGATCAAT